ACCATTTCCTATGAAAAACTGTCAGAAACTTTAGGCGTAATTTTATATGCAAACCAAAAAAGTTGCTGTAAAGTAAATGACGCAAATTGACATGAGAATTGGGTGAGTATGGAGAACAGCATCTAGCTGAAATTACTTTTACTTCACTATTGGAAAATAAATTTCATAGGAAGGTAAGACTGGAAGGAAAACATTAGGTTATGAAATCAAATCTGTTGCAGATAGTTTATAATATAATCCCACTTCAAAATGTATCTGGCTCCATACTGAGTTAATTAGGTGGTTTGCTCTGAAACAGTCTTCCAATAAGCTGTAGTACCTACTCTTCTGAGGAACAGAAGCCTTATTCTAGCTTCCATACCAAACAATCATTTATTTCAGGTCAAGAATTTTTATTTAAGGGAAAAAGTAGTTTCAGAAGTATTTTTGTATGTTTGGTTAATATACTTGTGTATCCTACTTCTTAGGGGCATACAGCACTTAAAAAACCAACAAACCAAACCTTCCTAAAACAAAGTTTTTAGTTAAGCAAGCAATTTACACTTGTGTACTTATTTCAGTGTAAGTATATACTCCCTATTTTACTGATTCATGATTAAGCATGGACTAATAACGAAATGCCATCCAACCCATCAGAACAAATTATTATTTTCTCTGTGCTTTTTATTCCATTACACTGTAGCTTTCTGAGGCAAAAGACAGTAGAACTCTCACTGTGTGTCTGAAAGCTAGTGGTGAGAAAAGCAAAATATTTTCCATTTGACCAAGAAGGGTGTTTTCACTAATTGTGTTAGAAGAACCAGTGTATAAAATACAAATCCTATGCAAGCAGGTATGTTCTAACATTCGTAAAGGTGGTTCTTGTAGCCTGTGGTCAGATATAATAGTGTTGCGCTGAAATTTTAAAATTATGCATTTGAAATTCTTTTGATATTTATAAATTTAACTTTTTTCAACTTCATAGAAGGAGAAGCTGCAATGCTAGGAATTACAGAAGTCGGTTTGGTTTTTTTTTTTAGTATGGCTAAGTTAGCAGAGAGTGTGGATTAGAAACTTGCAGAAAGACTGTATCATTCTTCCCTGTTTCTTCTGCTAAAAAATTAAGGCTACTGGAAAATTATGTGTTAAAGGATGAGGCCACGGATCTCTGTTTGCTAACAGTATATGATGTATACCTCTAAACATACTGTATGTTAATTAGTATGCTTTATCCTCTTTTGTTTGCCAAACACTTTGGTAAGTCAGGTCTTGCAGTTGCCTTTCTAATGTGTGTTTTCTTATACATGTTTCTGAAAAGAATTTTTTAAAAAAATCAGTTTTTGTAGATTTAGCAAAACTTTTATTTTATTGTTTTCTGTATCTAAAAGGGTTTGTTACTGAAAACTGAACTATATAGTAAAAATAAAATACTGAGATCAGCAGAATAGAATAGGGTTGATGACTAACCTTTGGGAGCTGATTCACTGAATAAAGAAAGGGACAGATGTTACTTTTTAATCTTTCGTTTCTTTATTTTTCCTTCTTGGATCTTAACAGAATGCTTTCATTTAAAACCTACATCTTAGAAATTTCTGAATGGCATTTTTTGGGGGGGGGGAAGGTAAATTCTGTCATAATTCAAAAATGGGCATGGGGGGAGTTGTATTAGCAAGCCGTAAATGAACTGATCCACTCCACAATGATAGTGAGTTGCTTGCATTTAATATTGACATGAAAGGAGTGCATTTAATTAAAGCTTTGCACTTTATACTCTACATTTCAAAGCACCAGACTAACCTTGACTTATTCTTCTAAATAATCAACTGAGTTAAGTGAGCATGAAAAAGGAAACTGAGTCAAGCTGGACTTAAAAGACTGACTGGTTAGTACTTGAAGTTGCCACTAATTTTGTAAGAGAGGCTGTGTCAGTAAAAGACAAACCATGCAATCTTTCTTACATTGATTCAAATTCAGTTTTTATCGCATATGTGTAGTTAGGTTATATTCACACCATAACAAACATTCAAGGTGCTTTGGTATGTGTTATCACAAGTTATCACTTCTTTGCTACTATGTGGCAAGTGACTCTTCTCTAACCTGCTCATAATGCAAATAAGGTGGGTTACCATAAACCAGTATTTCTCAGCTTTTCTGGTGGCCATACCTCACTTCAAAATGTGGACAATCTTTCATGCCTCTCTGGCTTGAGCATTCCATCACTTTTACCTAGTTTTCTGGCTTGTCTTCATATTCCTGTTGATCCTGTGTACTGCTCCTATTATACAGCTGCTGCCGTGCTGCTTTTTTACCTGCTGTTTTCCAGGCAGCACTAGCTTTCCACTGTCTGCTAGTGCTTTCCACTGAGATTGAGATAGTATATCCCACTGGACATGGCTGACTCTATCAAAGGCCCTCAGGGGTCTCTACATTGTGTTCCCAGACTACTGTGTAAAAACACTTAGGCTATTTCTGCACTGAACTGACAAGAGTCCAGGTATTATTTATTAGCCTGGTCTCTGTGCTTGGCCTTATCTGTGATGAGGTGTCTGCTGCTAATGCCTTGTTGCAGCCTGCATGCCTTGTTGTAAACTGCTGACTTAAACCACCTTTTTGGTGACAAGTAAGTATAACTTAATTTGGACAAGCACAAGCTGATAAATATTTTTTTTTTTGCCAGTGTGATCTATTTCACACATTGTTGAGCTCTTAATTGACTGTAACCACTTAGTAAAAGATTCTCACTGTCACTGCACAAGCCAAGGAAAATCTCCTGAATATAAATCCATGGTCACAAACCACAGAATAGGATAATATAGAATTTCTATGGGCTTATGATATTTTCAGCAATGTTGTGGCTGTTTCTGGTTAGTGTCTAAACAGATGAATTAAAGGAATTTTTGTGAAGGTTTGAATATTGAGAGCCTGGGAAAACTGATTTGTGAGAAGAAATGAAAAGAGTTCTAGTTTAGTGAGGAGATGGAACTGTATGCTTTGCTATTTTATATCCTCTACCATTTAAGGTAATGTACTTACATTTTTTTCATGGTCTAAAGATGAGGGGAAATTTTGTGGAACTGAAAGGAACAACAGACATAAAACTACTACATTATTTTTACATTCAGAAATGAATGCTAATATCGAGACTGAAGGCTACACTGAAATGGAAGAGTTAGGTGACTAAAAATCTCCCTGTCTAGCCCATTTTAAGGCCAGAACTCCCCCAGTCTTAACTTTGGAGCTTCACTTTCAGTATGTTTAGCGAGTCTCTCTTCTTTCTGCTAGAAACCTCTAGGCAATTGGAGTATTATGTTATCTAAATAGCTAGAATAGTCCCATCCGGGTAGGTGGGAGGTAGGTACTTAGTTAAAATGCATAGGATCCAGAAGCTAGATACAGAGGAATACAGCTTCCTATAGATGAGCTCAGAGCGGGCTACCACTTTTTCCGTACTGAGCTCAATACTATAGGCAGCAATCACAGCCACTTGCCTTCAGAGCCGAAGCCGTAGGAGCCACTGAGGGTTATGGCAGCGCCTACATCTTGTACAGCTGCCTGTTTGCTGGGAAAGTTGTCAATCTGTGTTCTAGCCCCTACTAAGCCAGATCTAGAAGGCTTTAAAACCGGTATTTCCCAACTCTTCCCCTGTTCCCTCTCTGCCTGGAAACGAGATTGCGTACAAAGAGAACTTTAGCCCCAGGAATCTTAGTAGCAAAGGCAGCTTGGCTCCAGATCCAGTTATTAGGGCACTCACATTGAAATTTGGGCTTTAAGTCCTGCTGTCAGGCTTGTTGGTAGAAAATGTATAAACTGGTTATTGGGTAAATGCAGCAGTAAGTCATACATAGAAGAGACAGTCTGGTGATAAAAGCATTTTCACTGTCGTTCTGTTTTGAATTCAGGCTAAACAGGCCTAATCTGATTTCTCATGTTTCCCTGGGGGAAAGTTCAAGGTATTATTGAACTATCATATGATAAGACAGGTAGTGCCACAGATGACTTTATTTCATTTGTTTCAAAGATTACATGTAGGCTTTTCAGAAGCGGAGAGATGCCCCCAACACTTGCAATGTTCATTACTCTTCTTGAATTCTGCAGACGTGTGAGAAGTCAGTCCCTTCTTCAAGGTTTACTAGATATCTTTCAGCAGCTTCTTGTTCAACATGGAGATACTTCTTATTGTCCTTCTTGAGATGCCTGACTTTCTTCAAGCACTGCGTAGGAAAATACATACACCTAAGCTGGGGGTTTTGAGTTAGTAAAAAGTAGGAGTTACTGTTGTCTGAATCAGATGTTCAAGTCTGTTTTGTGGGTTTGGTTCCAAGAGCCCAGTTAGACTTAAAGTGAATTTTACCTGATAATGAACACTGAAATCTGTCAGAAGTCTGCCTATTTACAAATATTTGTACTATAAGATAGAGTCCAGCCAGTGATTGACACTAAGTAATGAAAAGAGGTTACTGGGCTTCATGTCTTTACTGGGGCTTCCACGAGTCAAAGTGTGAAAGATGGAAGACATTAACGTACATTTGTGGCCGTAGCGTTTAAGTTGATATTCCAATACCATTTTCAAGCAATGTCATGATGAGATTCCCAGTGAAGGACTTTGCAAAGCAATATTTTTCTTTTTTTTTTAGCTCTTCACGCTTTTGTAATAAACTGATGCTTTCTGTTATGTACTGTGTTGAACTAGTCTGCACAGATAATTTCAAGTAATCCTGAATAGTTATCTGCCTTGTGTTTTTATCATTACATACTGTGAGCTGCTTTGTCGGTGTTTGTTCACTGATTTGCTAACGGGTAGTTCCAAGTTAAACCTGATGCATTGGCATGGGTTAATGGGACTGGACTAGAAAATCTAACGTAGCCTGTGGAATACACAACGAATTTCTATCTTTCTTGTAAATTATACATGAAATGTCCACGTCTGACATCAGAAGTACTTGCTGTTAAAGTAAAAGGTGCATATATTTCAAATTAGAATTTGCATGTTATTCTGATTCCTGTTTTTCTGCTTTAGGCCAGAACTATGATAGCAGTTGGACTTGGCGTTGCAACTGTTGCATTTGCAGGTAAGCTAAATTACCGGCTGAGTGTAGAACTGTCACTTGCGAGCTGCTGTTTCCAAAGGGTTAATGAAGCTTTTATGAATATAAATACTGGAAAGTGGAAAGGTCGCTTGAGAGTGCTATGGAGAATTGTGTCCCGTTATAGTTCCTGTCCCTTCAAAATCCTTGACATAGCTCCAAAATTCTTTTCAAAAAGTCACAGCTGGAGAAACTAATTTTATGGGCAGCAGCTGAAAGGTTCCATCTGCTTTTTGTCTGCAAAATATAATGTGAAAAGTTTACTTTGTTTATTTAATAACATGTTGCAAGTGGAGGCTCTTTAGTACAGAAGAGTGCAACAGGATCTTGTGATGTGAAGGTGATGCTCGACAAATTCAAATAGAGAAAAATAGGTTTTAGTGGCTACAGTGATTTATCATACTAAACTGTTCCCATAGTACATTGCTTGTTACCTGAATTCTTTGCATCTGGACTGTATGTTCTTCTGAAAAATAGGTTCTAGTCTGAACACAGGGCATGGGCTTAACATGATTTATACTCTGGGTTACTCAGACTAAATAACTGTGGTCTGTTCTGGTTTTGAAATACACAGATCGATTTCCATTATTTTCAGCATATGAAAGCAACCATGGTCAGCTATGTGCAAATGCATCCACCAAGAATAGATGCAATAGATGAACAAGTTGCACCAAACTTCAGCAGGTGTTTGCTGGGTACAGCTGTGTTGTTTCTTTGATTAGGGGAAGGAAAGACAAGATCTTTGGTGATGTACACCCATTAAGCAGTTGGTGTTTGTATAGAAGCAGAAGGGGAATGCTCTTTGAATTTCTTCTGCTGGTTGAGCTGGAGAATTAATGGCAGCTAGCAAAGAAATGGTAACAGAAAGCATTAAGAAGGTGAGGTAATATATTAGTACATCACAGCATTTCAGCAGTGATACTCTTAACAGTGGTTTTAACTTCTGTGTTAACATAGGCACAGGCTTAGATGACTAAAATAACCTATGGACACATTGTGTATATTAAGAATGAAAGCAAGATGCTATTTGGATGAAGCAGAGCGACATTTTATAAAAAGTTTTTCCATTGTGTATAATAGCAAGTTACGTTGCTAATGAATAGTTAATCAAAACAATAATTGGGGAGAGGGGACTTACAGGGAAAATCCTCCAGTAACATGGCACAAATCTTGATTCAGAAGCTGATAGGCCTGGTTTGTACTTCTGAGAATGCAGTCTAATAGAGTTCCCTCTAGCCTTTCCTAGCTATAGAAGTTCACTGCCGGTGGGGAGTTGAATGGCTCTGAATCCCAGAAGATCCTCTCTTTGTAACAAAATAAAAAATGCAGTACTTACAAAATGTGTGATTAAGCATAAAACATCACAGCAAGAAACATGTAGTACATAGATTTCTGTTCTTGAAGGCATAACCTTTGAAGAGGATTTAATAAATAATGTATATCCAAAGCTAATGTTTCATACTGCCCTTTTTCTGAAAGTTCACAAGGCAGATATCTTCATTTATCATATTGAAATGCATTTAAATGTATTTATTTTGTGAGCAAACATAATGGATCTTTGCAGTCCATGACTAGGTTTTTAGTTGAAGTATACTGAACTTCTTCCCCTCCCTCCCCCAATAGTACAAAGATTGAAAAATGTAAACCATAGCAAGTTTAGTGTGGGACTTTGGCTGGGCAGGATCCAAAAATGGCTGTTGAGGGACATCGTGAAAAGCAGTAAAGTACAACAGTGCTGTACAGCAAATAAATGAGACAAAAAGATTAACAATGAAGGATTTTGTTGTTGTTTTGTTTTTTTTTTAAACCAAAATTCTTTCTGCTGTAAGCTGATGAATATAAGTTGGAGACTTTTTTTTTTCCTCTTAGTGAATGTTGGTTATAATTTCATTTAACTTCAATCTTTTTCAGGTCGTTATGCTTTCCACCTTTGGAAACCATTGGAGCAGGCAATTACAGAGACAGCAAAGAGGATTTCAACTTCTGTAAGTTTAGAGGTTATGTTAAATTTATGATTTTATATTTCAAGTATTTAGAAAGGAGACATTTTATGTTAAATACGGTAAGTGCCACTTAGATTTTTTTTTTTTTTTCTAGGATATGTGTGCTCCTTACTGTGTATGTTTTGGCATATTATCTGGTATATTTTAAATCCCTGTGGATGAAGCTATATCAAAAGACGTTTGTGAGTTTGATAAACAGTTCTGATTTTCCTGGTGATGTTCCATGTTTCAGAACTCTTTGCTAGTAAGTGTATGATAAATTGTTGAAGTGCGCTGTGAGAAAATAGCTAATTCCTAGAGCTTACAAAGTGATGACATGCGGTTTCATTTTAAGAAGCTAAAAATGAAAGAATTTAGTCATTTTTCTTTCAGATACAGTGTTGAAAATCAAGAAGACAAATTGATAAACTTCTAGGAAAGGTTGCCATAGAGATAGGGGAGCTTGTTTTCTTGTTCACATGAGTTGTCTTTTTTTCTTCCCCAGCTAATTTGAACTTTTAACCAAGTTTTTGTTCTTTGTTTTGCCCTACAGATTTAAAAATATAATGAGGTAAAAAAATGAAGAGGTGGAGTGTTGTGAGAGGAGCATATGCAGGGAATATTCGGGAGCATTTACTTTTTGCTTCAGTGGCTATACTGTCCTCTGGTAAATAAATAAATATGTTCCATTCCTGTTTGATTAAAGTAATTCCCAATGAGGTAGATGTCTGCTTGTGGCAGTGTGTTCTTTCAGAGTTCATAGTCTGTGAACACATATCCACAGTGGAAGGAATACAGTTCCCCTCTTGATGCTGATGGGTGAGGGTGTTTGGGGAGTAGTTGTTGCAGATTATTATTTCCTGAAAAATATATTAAAGGTAGGGTTTTTTAAAAAAGTGATCATTAACATTGTACCTATTAATGTGAAACCGGTTGCAACACAGAGCCTGTCTACAGTATATAGACAGATGCTAGGGTCCAGATTAATTTGCCATCTGTACTTCGTGTTGATGTGCTGAAGGTGCAAGCTTGATCAATGCAAGCTTACTGGGGAGGTAAAGGCTTGAAACATGGGCTGTCCTCTTGGGGCTGGTCCACACTTGTTCTTAATTGCGATGTGCATCAGCCAGAAACGGTGCTCCTGGATCAGTTTTTGCTCTCTGTCCCTCTATTGCATTGCTGTTGTGAGACCAACACCAATTTTTTTTTTTTCCTTTTCAAAGTAATTTTTTGAGAGATTCCCAAGTTGCCTGCCAAAACAGCAGAAGGGACTTTAGGTACTGTGAATTAAATTGCTTCCACGTGATATGGATACAGCCTGACTTGCAGGCTTGCTAGAAGTAGCTAGCAATAAGGACATGTGGCTTCAGAGTAGGGAGTGCTTCAATCTTCACCCTGCCTCCCCAGCAGTTTAACTCCAGCATTTCTTCTTCTATCCATTTGTAGATACAGGCTAGAGAATCTAAATTCAGACATGTTCACATAAGAAAGCAGGCAGTGGCTCTCTTTAACAGATTGAAATATGACATGCTACTGCACAGAGAGGTGTCTGTTCCTAGGAAACTGTACCCCTCAATACTGGTATACTGGCTGAGCCAAGCTCATTACAGGCCTATCTCATTTTTACCACGGTGACTTTCAGAGTACTGCAGAATTCATGAACAACCACAAAGACCTTCTGCATTCTTGGTGTTCCTAGTCCCTGGAGCTGCATCCTCTGTCTGCCTTCACATCCTGCCTTACAGCCCAGAATTGTATGTTGATTTCCAGTAGAGTATCGCTCTTCTGCTGTTCTATTTCTGAACTTGAAAATACAAGTTTTCAGTGCAAGACGAGATCTGCTGAATGCAGTAAAAACTCTCCCTGTTTGCCAATCAACTGTATGTATTTGTCAGCTTTGCATTTGTGAGGGTAGTGATAATATTTTTCTTCTACCATCATAGTCCAAATTTAAGACCCTTGTATGATTCTTAGCCAAGATTATTTGTTCTTTACTACTCTACAGCTACTACTTTCTTGGATTGTAGTTTTTTCCAAGTTTTTTTTCTTCTCCCCTTAACTATCAATTATTTCCTATTTATAATTTTTTCTTTAAAACAATAGAGAAAACATTAGGTACAAAGATCCTATATAAGTGCTTATTGTCCAAACTTCTTATTTTAGTGGCTTTACATGATTTTGTTTGGGTATTTGAAGCTGCTGAGTATAATCTGTGGATTAGCACTTTCATCGCGTTTCTTTACAGCATATTGCCCTCTAAACTATACCGGCAAAGGAAATCAGGCAGTACTTCTATCTATGCTTACTGGAAAAAGCATCTCATGTGACATTTAGTGTCTAGGCTTAGTGTTACTTTGCTGGTTTCCTATGGTGTTTGAGGCGCCTAACTTGGTCACTGTAATTTTCAGTGGTTACTCTAGCTTTCTAGAATCAAACCCTGTCCTTCATCACCTCCTTTTTTTGAGAGACTGTGAAGCAGCTGCCTATTTAAAAGCTAGCTTGTTCTCTCTGTAAGCCCCCACTCTTCCTCCTGCCGTTTGCAATAGAAATCACAATTCATGTTGGTTGCAGTCACACAAGGTAATCCAGGTGCTGTTTATCCTTTCCTCCTGCTCACTAATAAATGACTTGGGTAAGGTCAAGTTGAGCAATTATGAAGCGATCATTTAAAATGCCTGCTTGCTGTATCTTGAGTGTTGGCACTTTCTGTTTACTTACCTAAATAAATAACATGTACAGTCAACAACTGCACTCATCTTTTAGTCAAAAATAGTAAGTAAAGGCAAGTAAAAGTGTTACGTTTTATTCTGAATTTCTACCTCTCATTTAACTTTAACTTACGGCAGTTAAATATATATTCTTAAATATGAAGCGTAAATGCTGCTGTAATTTAGTCCTGAAGCTTTCTACCATCTTTTTTTCAGTGGAGAAAGACATAGGAGGAAACATTGTCATTTCCCCTGTATGACAAGTCATAATGCTCGTTTCCAGAGAAGCGCTTTTTTAGTTTGAGACTAGTTTTGTTACTGGTGTCGCAAATGCCAGTGACACTGTTTTGTTTCTGTGTGTAGTGACAAGAATCTGTTGCCAGTAGAAGGTGCATAGCACTAAGTAGTCATTTGGCTTTTCTTCCTCAGACAGGCCTTAATGCTGTTAATTATAATGTTAATATGTCCTTAAAATATGAAATTAAAAAAAAGGAAGTATTTCAATAGCATTCATTACCTTTCTTTGTTGAATCAATGACATTGAAGGTTGAAAGATAGATAGAAGATATTGAAGATGGAAACAGCAATTCTAGGCAAAACGAACTGTCAAAATACTCAAATCCCACAATCCTGAAAATTCTGTGTTCCAGAAGAAAAGGGTGTCTTCTATACCACTTCATTAGAGATTTTTTCACTGTGTTTACCTTATTGGATCTGATTCTGCTCAGACTCATAGAGTTCTGAATTGAGAGGTAAGGGTAGCAACCATCTCTCTTGTCCTTCATTGAAAATAAAGTTTCCAGAGAATAATGCAATTTGCACTCCATTTTATAAATTTTTTTCTAACTGAAGTTAAGGAAGTTAAAGTTGATCTTAGCAAATTGTAGGTTGTATTATAACACAGCTTCTAAATAGTTTGTTATTGTAGGTTTGGGTTTTTTTCCCCAGTGTTTGTTACCTTTTCAATGGAGGACTGTACTGGTGGTGGAACAACACATAGAGTTTTCAGAAAAATTCACTACTTCATGTAATATGATGGATGGTCTCAGTTACGGAGTTTTGAATCTCTTACCTGGCATGGAAACGGTGATTATGCTTACCCTGTGCCATGCCAGGACAAGTTATCTTGAAGATGTCATGGTCCAAATGGACTGGATTTTCTTAACTGACTGCTTTTGTGAAAATTTGCAAGAGTGAATAGACATTTGCAGAGCACATCCAGCCATTTTCTGTTTCCTCCTCCCCCCCCCCAACCTATTAATAGCGTTTGTTAGGAAGCAGAATTTACTTCCATAAGTTGCTAAACAGCAACAACATGCAAGGAAATGAAGTAAATTAAATGATGGTCCCTCCCCTCACCCCAAATAGTATGAAGAAATGGAGAGCTCATTTTGATAGTTTTTCCAGTACAGAATTTGTTTGCAATAGCTGGGGTTAATAAATGTCTAGAACCACCCGCTCATCAAGGAGTTCTCATAACAGAAAAATATCTTGAGTATTGTTTCATTTCATTCCAGCCATGAAAAGTGTTACGTTTTATTCTGAATTTCTACCTCTCATTTAACTTTAACTTACGGCAGTTAAATATATATTCTTAAATATGAAGCGTAAATGCTGCTGTAATTTAGTCCTGAAGCTTTCTACCATCTTTTTTTCAGTGGAGAAAGACATAGGAGGAAACATTGTCATTTCCCCTGTATGACAAGTCATAATGCTCGTTTCCAGAGAAGCGCTTTTTTAGTTTGAGACTAGTTTTGTTACTGGTGTCGCAAATGCCAGTGACACTGTTTTGTTTCTGTGTGTAGTGACAAGAATCTGTTGCCAGTAGAAGGTGCATAGCACTAAGTAGTCATTTGGCTTTTCTTCCTCAGACAGGCCTTAATGCTGTTAATTATAATGTTAATATGTCCTTAAAATATGAAATTAAAAAAAAGGAAGTATTTCAATAGCATTCATTACCTTTCTTTGTTGAATCAATGACATTGAAGGTTGAAAGATAGATAGAAGATATTGAAGATGGAAACAGCAATTCTAGGCAAAACGAACTGTCAAAATACTCAAATCCCACAATCCTGAAAATTCTGTGTTCCAGAAGAAAAGGGTGTCTTCTATACCACTTCATTAGAGATTTTTTCACTGTGTTTACCTTATTGGATCTGATTCTGCTCAGACTCATAGAGTTCTGAATTGAGAGGTAAGGGTAGCAACCATCTCTCTTGTCCTTCATTGAAAATAAAGTTTCCAGAGAATAATGCAATTTGCAGTCCATTTTATAAATTTTTTTCTAACTGAAGTTAAGGAAGTTAAAGTTGATCTTAGCAAATTGTAGGTTGTATTATAACACAGCTTCTAAATAGTTTGTTATTGTAGGTTTGGGTTTTTTTCCCCAGTGTTTGTTACCTTTTCAATGGAGGACTGTACTGGTGGTGGAACAACACATAGAGTTTTCAGAAAAATTCACTACTTCATGTAATATGATGGATGGTCTCAGTTACGGAGTTTTGAATCTCTTACCTGGCATGGAAACGGTGATTATGCTTACCCTGTGCCATGCCAGGACAAGTTATCTTGAAGATGTCATGGTCCAAATGGACTGGATTTTCTTAACTGACTGCTTTTGTGAAAATTTGCAAGAGTGAATAGACATTTGCAGAGCACATCCAGCCATTTTCTGTTTCCTCCTCCCCCCCCCCAACCTATTAATAGCGTTTGTTAGGAAGCAGAATTTACTTCCATAAGTTGCTAAACAGCAACAACATGCAAGGAAATGAAGTAAATTAAATGATGGTCCCTCCCCTCACCCCAAATAGTATGAAGAAATGGAGAGCTCATTTTGATAGTTTTTCCAGTACAGAATTTGTTTGCAATAGCTGGGGTTAATAAATGTCTAGAACCACCCGCTCATCAAGGAGTTCTCATAACAGAAAAATATCTTGAGTATTGTTTCATTTCATTCCAGCCATGACTTAGAATTTACAACTAGGAAAAAAAAATTGCTTTAATTTGAATAGCGTGCAAAAGTTGTTTCATTAGGGAACTAGAAATTTGCCAAGATGTTTGCTAAAATGAAGACTCAATGTTTCTTCCCCTTATTCTAACCAATGGGAAAAATGGCTTTTATGTCTAATTTCCTTTTGCTTTAAATTCTGTTTAGGATCAAGATCTTAATTTAAGAATTGATTATTCTTGCTACATGCTTCACTTCTGAGAAGGAAATTTTTTTTCTTGATGACCAATTCAAAAAACTGTTTTTGCTCATGTGCCAAAGGCCACAGACAACAGAATTTCTTTTTTCATTCCTCTTGGAAGGGAAGCAAATCAAGGCTTCCCAAGGTTAGAACAGTGTCAAGGAAGTAGGCTTTAAAAACATGAAAAAGTATTTCTGAATTTAAGCCTATAGCCATCCCTCCCTATTCTCTTATTTCAAATAGTATTTTAGATGAAATCTACCAAGAACAGAGATGAGCTGTTAGAGATAATTCAAATATTGTTCTTCTCTACATGAATAGTGAACCAGTGTCCTCCTGTACTAGAGTTGTATGCCAGAGTTGAAGGGCAGAGAAGAATTAACCTTTTCAGAAATCCATCTGCACCTAAGCTGCTTTGGGAGAAGTTCTGGAAAATCTTTCAGAGGACATTAAAGTGTGCTTTTCTCTCCTGGCTGTAGTAATTGTTGGGCATCGTTACAAATTTTTGTGCAGTTCTGCCTCCTCAAGGGTGTTATCTGGTGGCCATTAAATCATTAGCATCGTTTCCTCTTGGAGGACTGGAGAAGCCCTGTGTGTTCCCTTAGTCTTACATACTCTAACCTGTAATGTCGGTGTGCACTATTACAGACCTGTTTAGTGCTACCCTGTAGCTGTAGCAGCGGCCTCAATGGATTTTTGTTGTAGGCATGACACGTCCACGGTTGCTTCAGCTTTGATACCTGTAGTGTTACGGTAGTGGTTATTTTCTGTATGGTTTGGGATGGGAAGAAGAAAGATACAATTAGTTTCAGATCACAGCAGCACACCAAAAAATCTTTTCTGTGGCTGTGTGTGACTTCATGGTAGCAATAGGTGAAGTATTTCTGAACCATGCTTTTGGGTGAACGTCACTCCTAAGCTTAATTAATTAAAGGCTTGGCTTAGGTATCATAGACAGAGACCTTTAAATGCTTTAATGCTTCTGAAATTACATGAGAGAGAGTTTGTGTAAATGTAAAGCAAAATTCTCACTGAATATGAATGGATATGTTTAGTGAGAAAAGTGTTTTATTAAGGGCCAGGCACATTTTTACTTGGGGGTAAAAGGAACGCTTAAAAATAATCTTAGCTCTCAGGCCAGGCTTCCCTTTGATAGCAACAAAAGAAGCTTATTTTTCCCCAGTTGATAGGTTTTGCATTGAGGAAAAAACTTCAGTCTTGCTGAGTGATTTCTGTGTGCCAGTTCCCAAAGGCAGGCTGTCTTGGAGCTACACCTGCTGCCTCTGGGACTTGTGCAGCTTAGACTATTATTTGTGTAGCAACGGGCTCGTCCCTAATTCTTCTTATAGAAACATTTACATTGAGGAGATCACTGCTAACCATCAGTGGTAGTTCAGCAACTTTTTTTTTTGTAGTTGACAAACATACTTTCAACCCATTCCTTATGACAATTAATTGTTGTAATGATTTACTTTCATTTCCATCTCCTTCTTTTTAATCTTCTTTGCCCACTCGTGTTTTTTCTCCCCTTCTTAAAACGGTGGCTAAAGTCTCACATGCCAGTGAGTTTAAAAAACTAACCCCAGATCCTGTATCTAATCGTCATCAGTGTCTAGGGAAGGATGTAAAGGCAAAATTGGTTAGGATTTCCCCATATACTCTGCTACTTTCCAGTGTTCTCCAGTTCAGTGATTTCCTGAAATATAGGTTGTGGGTTAAGCCTTTTTTTGTTTTCTTTTTGTTTATTTTTCAGGGTTCCTTCAAAGAACTCTCGGTATGTTTTTTTGGAGTAACATTCCTTCATGTGAAAAAACATACAATATACTGATGAAGAGTCGATATTTATCTGTTCTTATCCTTTTACTGTTGTTTTTACCTACTTTCTTTGTAGAAATATCTGGACTTCAGAGTGATTGTCCATAATTCCTTGGATGCCAAAGTATTGTGACTTCTGCCATTTTCCATTGCGGTGGTACCAAAGCTGTTTTAAACAAGTTTCCCCCTTTCCCTCCCCTGCCCTCCCCAACACACACACTGTACCACTCTATGCTAGTATGTACTCTGATTCTGGACTCTTTTGCCTGAAGGCAGGGTTTTAATGGTTGTAGCTATTAATATCTCTTATTAGCAGTAGAAGATTGTAAAAACACAGATAGTTAATTTTAAGTTGTTTTTTGTATGTGTTAACACTCAGGAGAAGTCCTTTCATATTATCTGGTTTGTAGTCATTCCATGCCTTTGAAATAAATTATAGATGAATGTAATGCTCTGAATGAGGTCATATAAATATGATTTAGGTCCTGGCACCTTGTACATGAAACTAATTATTGCTTGTTTTCCCTTTCTTCGTTTTAGAGTCTTTCATCATACTATAAAGGAGGATTTGAACAGAAAATGAGTAGGCGAGAAGCTAGTCTTATTTTAGGTGTAAGGTAGGTGTGTTGCATTAATATGTTTTTGTTTGGTAACTATTGAATGAAGAAAATGCATGTTGCAAGAACGTAGAATACTCTTGCCAAAATCGTAACTTTTTTTTAAAAGACTTCTAATGGCTTATAAACCATTCTAATATTCTGCTTAAGCTAAAAAGCAACCAGTAAAATGCGAATAAAACATGCGGCTTGCGTTTTGGCTTGAAGGCATGGTAACATATAGCAGTGGAGAATCGGTGCTCTAGAAATAATCAGAATAGCACATACTGTGCTAATTAGTGCGATCACATGGCCTGGTCTCCAAAAAAACCCTTGAGATAAGTAATTTTATAGATTATATTAATAAACAAAGAAAACAAATCAATTTTGCTCATTTTTCATAAGTCAGTAATATTATTTTTTTCTTTCTCCACTCTGATTTGTTTGGATTTAAAAAGTTGCGGCATATTCCAAACAAAAATACTTGGAGAGACTTGTCATATAGAGTAGGTATGGGAAATAATTTCCAGGCTGAGTGTTCAATCGATTTTTCAGTGGATTTCTTCAAAAACATTTGGATGGCCAATGGTAGCACACGCCTTAGTGTTTTCTGTAAAGCAGGTGGTGAGTTTGAGGGCTTTACAGTTGAGAGGAGCAGATCTGACCTTAGGTAGTAGATTTCTTATTTATGGTTTAGGTCAGTTCTGAATTTTAAGGTTAAAAAAAAAAAAAGATAAGGAGGATGGTTTTAATTATCCCCAGAAGAAATTATTTCAGATGGTGAAAACTGGGACTTAAAATCCTGTTCAGTGCGCTATTTGTGTTTGCTTCTAACATAATGGAAATTATGCAGATTTAGCATTCATTTTAAGAAATTGTAAAATAAAACATTACATTTATTTGAAATATTTCATGCTTGCACGCTGAAGAAGAGATTTATAGGAATGCTCTTCAGAAATATTTCCTTTGGCCTTTAAATTTGATAACGTATTAACATTTTCACTTTATAAGGGCAAATTCAGTGATACTCCAGAGTAGCACATGGCAGCTTATTAAAGTGTGTTTACAGTGGGAATGGCTAGCCTGAACACTGCTCATGTACATGACTGAAGTTTCATTACATCTGAAATCAGTGCCCTTTCATTTTTTAATTTTAATAGCTTGAGTCTGCACTGACACTGCTTGTTGTGTTTGGACTGAGTCTTGCAAATATCAAGACTTAATCAGATCTGAGGAAAGTTCTTCTCAATGTTTAAAGGATTGAGCCTTTAATTGTGTAGAAGCACGGCTAACATCTTCATAGGAAACTTTCACGTGGTTTAAACACACTTTCTAGACCAGTTTTAACTCACTGCTTACTGTATTTTATATACAGTATAATATGTATTATTACATAGTATTTACATGTATTTTATATACCAAAAAAAAAGGCAGGTGAGTTTTAAAGTGTTACGGAATATGCCAGGGTATGCACAAATGCCCAAACTAGACAAACTCTCTAGGCCCTGATCTTATTATTGTAACACTTGTCTTCTGTGTCATCACTTCCAAGACATATTAAATTTTGAGGCAAAGACTTTCTTCATTATTTCAAGTGCTGAGTATGCATGGGCAGTATAAATAATAAATACCAGCCATGATAAACGTGAGCATTTAATGGTAGTTTTTAAATTTCAAATATATTGGCCCATTACACATTCCAAATGTTATTCTCTAATAACCATCTTGTAAGATTGCAGATCTTGTAAGAAACATGCATGTGCATTATTTGTATTTAAACTATGTAAAAGGTATCCAAAGATACAAAGTACTGTATTGGAAATATTGACTGATTTTAAGTTTTAGTGGTTTTGCATTAGTTGTTATGAAGCAGCACCGATTACTGAAATTCAGTATAAACTTAGCAATAATATTAACAACTATGTACTCTGTAGAAGGAACTGCTGATGGGAGAGATGGGGGAATGTCTGAGACAAGGGACATGAAAATGTTAGGAGTGTTTTCCAAACATTAGACAAAATAGGTGCTAGTGTAGCTGTCCTAAGTACAAAGCTTTACAACTATCAAATCCCTAACGCTGAACTTCTGAAGTTAGAAAACATTTCTGAAAATCGTAAGTTAAAATTCTAGATAAAAATGGATAAGACTTTGTGTTGTACCATTTCCTCTATGAAAAGATACATTCTTTTTCTTTCCATAGGAAATATGTAATTTTTTGTTAATGTACAAAATATATATATGCATTAGTAAAAAATGTTTAAATCATTATTTGTAAAACATAAATGACATAATAAAAGAAATTAGGCAATTACATTAAAAAAACATGTAGTACATTGTATAAGTGTACAAACACAAACGTATTTAAGGTTTAATCATTGTGGGTTTGGGGTTTTTTTTAATTTATTTTAATTTATTTTTAAACACAGCTTACTGCACAGGTATATCGTATGATCATAATAACACTCAAGTTGGGAGGCACCTCAAGAGCTCTCTAGTTGTACCTGCTGCTCAAAGCAGGACCACCTGTGGGGTCAGAGCAGGTTGCTCAGGACTTTATCCAGTGGGTCTTGAAAGACTCCCAAGGGTGGAGAATGCACAACCTCTCTGGGCAACCTGTGTCACTGATGGACTCTCTTTGGGGTAAAAAAGTATTATGTCCAGGCCGCACCTCCCTTTTCAATTTGTGCCCATTTTCCCTCACCCTCCCACCGTGCATGACTGTGGAGCGCCTGGACCCATCTTCTTTATGACCTCCCTGTAGATGCTGGGAGGCTCCTGTGAGGTCCCCTAGCAGCCCTCTCTTCTCCAGGCTGAACGAGCCCCGCTCCCTCAGCCTCTCCTCAAAGGGTGAGTGCTCCAGCCCCCGGCCTTCCTGCTGGCCTTTGTTGGACCTGTGGTGGTTGGCCAATGTCTTTCCTGTACAGAGGTCCCAAAACTGGATGCAGCGGCTAGATGTGGTTGGCCGAGTAGAGGGGAATAGCTGCTTCTGTCGGCCTAGCGACCATGCTCCCGTTCATACAGCGCGCGAGGCTGTTGTCCTTCTCTGCTGCCAGGGCACGCTGCTGGCTCTTGTTCTTGCTGTGCCCCGGGTCCCTTTCAGCAGAGCCACTCCCCAGCCCGGCATTCCCCAGCCTGTTGCGCTGCGAGGGGCTCTTCCTTCCCAGGCGCCGGGCTCTGCCTCTGTCCTTCTTGGATTCCGTGAAGGGTTCCTGTCAGCCCATTCCTGCAGCCTCTCCAGGTCCCCCTGAATGTCAGTTCTGCCCTCCACCGTATCGACTGTTCCCACCAAGGTGATAGACTTCTCAGCCAGTTGGTGTTGTTAGAAGGCAGCATGACGTTGGTGTGACTCAGGTTGTGAGGCTGTACCAGTTCAACGAAAATGTGATTTTGACATTAAAGGGTTTTTTGATGGTGATTAAGAATCTTTAGAGACCAGTCTGACTGCGGGATAAGCAATGTCTCATAAACTAAGCAAATTTGATGTAAAACACCATTTTCAGAGTTGCTTCTTAGAGCAGAACTGCCTGATTTTCCATAATATGCAACTTTTCCACAGTTATGCTTTGGTATATCAACTTTCCTTTTATTATTAAACAACAGCTTTACAAATCAAAATATATATGATTGTTATTTTTAGCTGTCTGATAACAAATAATTTCATTTTTATATTTATAGTTCAAGGCCTTTCATCCTCTGCTTAATTCTTACTTTCTGGGTTAGTTTCTGTTCCACTGAAGTATTCTTTTCTTATGCAGTTCTATGAACTATTTTTGCAACAGACCCTAATTTCCCTGTGACAGAATAACAATTAGAGGTTGTTTACCTCAGGAATGTAGTTAGGCTGATACCTTGCATTCAAACTGTATCTACAAAAAGATTAATTAATTGAATCATCACTGATTAAGAAGTCACCTGAAGTGGAAAAAACTGCTTCATTTCTGCATGCTAACAAATTATGAAAAACTAAACCATACAAACTGTCCTATTGCATATGATAGCCTTACTGTGTTGGCATGCTCCATCCATAAGTGGTTATTTGTCTGGTAAGGTACATATTTAATTTAGGCCAAGTACATATTTTATGTATCTGTCATTGAAGGAGACAACATTATGTAGCACTTGTAAATCAGTATGTCCTTGAATGTAACACATTGAACAGCTTTGCAAAAATAACAAAGGGTTTTTTTTTTTCAGGCCCCAGCAGAAAGAATTATTATTTATAGTAGCTATAAAAATATTTACAGTAGAACAAAATGGGAAAATATTAAATATTTCTTGTTTTGTCACTGGTCATGTAAATACTTATTTTCTAGGAGGAAAAAATATGTTTTCTGCATTTAATGATAAGAATAACCAGCTAGATACACCCTAGAGCTGCCATTTTTTTTTCTCCCCCCCCCCCCCCCCCCCCCTCTCCTTTTTTTTCT